CAGCTCTCAGAGGGATGACAGAGAGTGTGTAGTCGGAGAGATCAGAAGGCCACCCTTGCAAATGCAAATCCTCACTGGAGCTTCTTGCCAAGCCCTGTCCCCAGGACATGGCTCTCTGGGCCCTGACTCATGGCTGTTTTCATCTCTCTGGGGAAAGCTGCATGTGAACAGCGCCTGGAGTCTGCCTTTTGTGATGACAGGATTTATAGCCCCCAGAGCACTCAGGCTGCACATCTTGAAGGGTCCCTGAAACTGATGCCAGCAGGGCCTGCAGGCGCTGTCGAGGCAGCTGCCAGCTCCTATGCTCTGCTCTTCCCTCCGGTGCCCCTCCCAGCACTCACCAGGATGCACACCTTGCTGTCTTCACTTTAGCCACCTTATGCTGACTTTAGCCTTTTGCCCTCCCTTCCCGCCACGTCACTTAAGGCCCTGCCTCTGCCTGACTCAAGGCTGGGGACAGGTTGGGGTCCAGTCCTGGCTGAGGAGCAAGTGCTGGGCCAGGGGCCTAAAGCAAGAACAAGATGGTCCTCTATCTCCTGCAAGGTTCCAGGAGTCAAAGGATGAGCCAAGATCCTTAGATCTTAAAAAACACAAGGGAGCTGGGTGTGATGGCACATGCCTGTAATCCCAGCACTTAGGAGGCTGAGACGGGAGGATTGTTGCGAGCTCATGACCAGCCTGGGCTACAAAATGAGCTAAGGCCAGCCTGAACTGCATAGCAAGACATTGTCAAAAAAAAAAAAAAAAAAAGGAAAAGAAAGAAAGAAAGACACAAGGCCATTGAGGGTGTAGCTCAGTGGTAGTAGGCTTGCCTAGCATGCACAAATCCTGGAGTTCAATCCCCAGTAAAAAAAAAAAAAAAAAAAAAAAAAAAAAGCAGAAGGAACAGGGAAATGGAATACAGCTATGAAGTCCAGGGTTATGACAGGTATCCAGGGCTGAGGGTGCAGAACTGTCTAGACCAGAATATAAGCCAAATGGAGAGAAAAGAGTAACAGGGTCTTAGCGCCTCATATATGCCTACCTTACCAAGACTGGCAGCTGGAGCCAGTTGCCTCTTTGTGCTCCTCCTGCCCTGCCATCCCCTCTGTCCCTTGAAGCCTTTGGGATTCTTCCCTGCCAAACTATGTCACCATTTTTTTTTCCTGCAGAGCACCCCTTCTCTAATAATCCTTCTGTTTCAGATCATAGCCCTTAGAAGGGTGACCAAAATCAGGCCACAAGACTAAGTGCCCTGCTTGTATCTCTTTGCCTGTTCATATGTTCATTCTTTCTTCCTCTCCCACTCTCGTTGATCTCTGCATATTGCCTACATGTGCTGTGGGGACAAGCATGCCCACCCAGCACCTTCCCTGAGCCCCTCAGCTCAGGCTCTGCACATGAAGTCACCCCAACTCCAGCTAAGGGCCTGGCACATGCAGGCTGAATAAGAGATGTTCTTTTTTTTAAAATGTATTTGGGAAAGGGTCTCACTACACAGCTCAGACTCATAGTGATCCTCCTGTTTTTAGCCTCCCCGGTGCTGGGATTACAGGTGTGTGCCTCCATGCCCAGTCTCAGTGGCTGGCTCAGCATGCCCAGGGGTGGGACTGGTGCGGAATGTGGTGCTGGGGATCAAACCTGGCTCTGTGCTTGCCTAAGCAGGTGCTTAGTCCACTGAGCTATCTTGCCAGTCCCAGGTGTTCTTTGTGGTAGTGACCAGTGGTTAGTTACCAAGATGTAACTAACTTTTTACTTTCTGTCAGGATTCCATCGTAGCAGAATTTATTTTATGTTTTTAAGCTAAGAGTATCAAACAGAAATTTGAAACCATGTGGTCATTGGAACAGGGATAGTTTAATATGAAAAACTGTTAATTGTAAGAGAGAATAAAGTACAAAGGGATTAGCTAGCAAGAAGTGAACTCTAAGAATCATTCTAGACAGAAAGTGCCTGGAAGGCAGGTGTAACAAGACTCACCTGTTTAGCCCCTCCATATCACTTAGGAATCACTGCTGAGACAGAGAGAGTCAAGTCAAGTCTATGGGGGCCATGCTAGGTGTACTGTGGCATCTCTGGGGAGTAGCCAGGAGGGTGGGTACCAGGAGGGTCAGGAATAGGAGGACTGGTGGCCAGCACTCTTGGGACCCTGCCACACAGACAAGGCTTGTTTTGTAAATTGGAGGTTCCTTTATCTGTGACATCGCATGTTTGTTTTCCCCTTCAGCGTTAATACTTGGAAGGGTCAGGAGAGAGGAAACAATCCCATTAAGCATGAGCTTCTGAGGGCTCAGTCTGTGGCTGACAGCTAGAGTGGAACTGTGAGATAATGGAGCTGATACCGATCCCAGCCAATTCTTCTCTCCTTCGCAGAGTGCTGAATGACAAGCAGATTTCTCAGCTCCAAGCAAGCAGTTGCGTTCGGGTGATAAATGCATCCCTGGACAGAGGAGCTCATTTAGTGATATTTACCAGGGTCTCTGTGAATGGCTCTCAACTCCCAATGGGGCATTACACACCTTAGCCTCCTCACCTGTTCAGGACCTTCCTTACTTGACAACATGACGCAGGTCCTGGTGATTTGCTTAGCCGCTTAAAGTTTCCTCCTCTCAGCCCTCCCACCCCCCATTACCCCCTAGCAGAAGGAAGTGTGAAGTATGGGCCTTGAAAGGGGCAGGGACATGAGCAGTCATGTGCCACAGACCTGAGCTGGCCTCAGACCTGCTCTGCCACCTGTGCTCTCAGGCCGGAGCAGGGGCCTCAGTTTCTCAGAACCTCTCTTGGACACATGGGGACATAGAGGTGGGCCACAGGGATGTCATACAGATAAAACCAAATCTGTGCAAAAGTACTTCACACACTGCGAAATGTGCTCCAGTATAAGCCATTCACTCGCTCCGCAATTCCTCACACAGCAACTGCATGCCAGGTACTGTTCTGTGTCAGAGTGCCAGCTCCAGTCAGCATGAGCTAGAGGGAAAGGCAGCTAAAGTTCAGCTCTTTGCCAGCTACACCACGTTTCTGGGATCATTACCAGGGGTTCTGTGGGAGTTCATGAGAGAAATAGAACAAGAGAACATGGACAAATATGTATGTCATATAAACATGTATATGTAGACACATACATTTGCATAGTCATGTGATGTACAAAATATATACAAATAGGATATATCTTTACATAAAGAGATTGTGAAAATTATATAATTAGGTTAAGTGGTGAAGACATTTCATAATGAAATTTCTATAAAGAAGCCAAAGAGATTTATGCTAAGGAACTTAACTGTCATGGCTATGGAAACTGAGGAGCCCCAGGTTCTATAGTCAGTAGCCAGACACCCAGAAAAGCCATGGAATGAGTGCCAGTCTGAGTGGGGATCTGAAGAGAGGAGGCAGAGCAGTGAATTCTGTCTTACTCAGCCTTTTTGTTCTATTCAGGACTTTACTGGATTGGATGAGGCCTACTCACAGTAAGAAGGTTAACACACTTTGCTCAGGCTACCAGAAAAGCTAGTACAGGTACCCAGAGAAACAGCTAACCAAATATCTGCATACCCTTGTGGCCCAGTCAAATTGACATACAATCCAGCATTGCACCGGGGTGGACTTCGAATATAGCATTCAGGGCTTGGGGAGATAGTTCAGTAAAATAAGTGCTTGCCTGGCAAGTGCATTCAAATTTACCACATAAATTTGTATGTTACATCTCATTTAGCCTCCAGAATAATCCAATGAGGAGCTTATTATCCTTCTTAATCACAGATATCAATAGCCTGGCCATTTGACAAAGGTCAGGATCTCCTTAAACCCAAATCCCCATGTGTCAAGCCTCTTCCCTCACAGTGACAGGAAGTATAGCCTTCCCAGAGTTCCACTGGGCCAGCACAGGAGAAGCTGCAAGTGGGTGATCTGAATTTAGGGCTCTGCACTCTCCACTCTACACTAGTCCTCAGTCATCAGGAAACTGAAAGTCACTGTCCCATGGGATAAGATTATCTGTGGGTGACAAACCAGTGGGCATCTCTACCAAGTTCAGCGTGATCCCCGTGCCCAAGGAATGTCAGGACTCAGAGCTGAGATGGGCCTGGCTGAGTCTCCATGGGTGGTGCTGCAAGTGTGGGATGGCGAGGTTGCTGCTCGCTGTGAGGGTGGGCAGTATTCCTTTGGCCATGAGTCCTAGTTGCGGCTGTCTTTGTGTCCTTGAGGCGCAGTGCAGGACACTTACAACAAGGCTTCTCTCATTTTTGCTGTACTGATGAATCAAGGCACTCCTGGGTTCTGTTTATTCAGGATACACTGCCAAGCATCTGTTACAGTCTATCAGAGAGGGACTAATTAAAGGGTCAGCTCCTCATGCTAAGATTGCAGTAAGTGTCCCTGAGTAGCCTTTCTCAACAGTGCCTACACTATGGGCTGGGGATATAGCTCAGTGGCGTAAGCGCCTGTCTGGCAAGTGCAAGGTCCTGAGTCCAATCCCTGGTACTGCCAACAACAACAACAACAACAACAACAACAACAACAAAGCAGCACCTACAGTGTCCAGCATTGCAGCCCCTGTGGACGTGCCTATCTCCTCATTTGGACACACAGCTTTCTAGGCTGTGTGTCCCCATGCCAAGCCCAGCACAGTGTAGATACCCAGTCACTGGTTCTGAATGGGCTGGATAGCTGGGGTTATCCCACAGCCATATGTACTACAGCCCGGGCCTGTGGGGAAGGTACCTAGCCAGCCCCTCCAAATAGAGGTTACCTGGCATGTGCTGTGCCTTGCTGGACCCTGAGACCACGGGGTTTTTATTCACAGCAGAATGGGGTACAGCAGGCCATTAACAACTAGCCAGAGTTGACTGAAGAAGTGACACGAGAAGCAGGTCTGGGGCCAACGAGAGAAGCAGGAGCTCTTGCAGTCAGGAGGCATGAGCACCAGGGCTTGTGGGGTGCCAGGTAGGGTGGGTCCTCAGAGCTGACATCAGAAGCTCAGAGCCTCCGTTCCCTGACTGGCTTTTCTGTTGTTCTTCCTGCAGGGCCTGTGCCAGCAGTGAGACCGAGAGTGAAGCCGGAGACATCATGGACCAGCAGTTTGAAGAGATGAACAACAAACTCAACTCTGTCACTGATCCCACTGGCTTTCTGCGGATGGTTCGCCGCAATAACCTCTTTAACAGGTGCGGAGAGCCTTGGCCTGGGCCTGGTGCAGGGCAGCGCCCAAGCCTGGATTCTGTGCTTTCAGCTGAGGCTCCTGCCCGCTGAGAGGTGCTGGCCAGGTGGTACGGTTACAGGCTCAACCAAGATGCCAGACGCCCCACACTCTCCAGGGGGCTCTGCTTCCCAGAGGGCCCTAGCTCATATGGAGAACAGTGACAGGCTTGATGTAACATTCCTCTTCCTGCTGGGAGAGGAGGCCTGGGGGACAGTTAGCTGCTTCACACAGATTCCAGGCTGACTTCCTGACCTGTAAACGCAAGCCAGAGAAGCTTCATGCATGTCTTTGATGGCATCTGTAGATAATTAACCTGAAGGCCAGGTACCCCTGCTGACTTCCTGGGCTGAGGCCCAGCGAGGTCGTGGAGAGCGGAGAAGCCAGGGCTGGCAGAGGAAGAAACTGGCTCACCTACAAGCTCATCAGAGAAATTGAACAAATGGAAGCTGGGCATGTATGTGTGCATATAAATATGTATACTCTGTGTGTGTGTGTGTGTGTGTGTGTGTGTGTGTGTGTGTGTGTAGGGAGAGGTGATGCATTTATGTAAACATAAGATACATAAAATATCCTAGTATGATGTATATTTTATATATTTATGTAAAGAGATAGATTATAGAACTTATATAACTAAGTGATAAAGACATTGCATAAAGAGATTTCTGTAGAGATTTATAATAAGGGCCTCAAATGTTCATAGAGACTGAGAAGCCCCAGGACCTGCAGTCAGCATGTTGGAGGTCCAGGAGAGCTCGGTGTAAGTGCACCCCTCTGCTCTAACCCCTCAGTTCCGTCAGATGACACATGGCCTTGCCAGCTTCAGGACAAATCGTGGCTGAAATTGCCAAGCCTCCACACCCCTTCTCCTTCACAGGCCTGGTACTGAACATGGTCCATATCAGCAGGGGCAGGTGCCCAGCTGAGGAGCGCCTCTTCTGCTGTCCCTTGACTGCCTGGCAACAACCCAGCAGTCACATTTTGACATATCTCTCCAGAAGGGTGCTGTGGACTTGGGGTCCCTGCCCTAATCTGGGGACCTGCCTTTGAAAGGCAGCTGGTTGACCTGGACTCAGTGGTAAGGGACTATGTGCTGAGTGGGGGTAGCCTCCGTTTGGCAGCCCAGCTATGCCAGGCACTGCGTGTCCTGTCTGTTCCTACTGTAGGCCTGGTTTCCTCTCATTATTGTGCTGTCAGGGTGACAAACGTGTGTTTATTTTCCCAGGGCCAAGTTGAGTAGGAAGGGAGCCAAGGACCAGGGATTTAAGAACTGGCAGCTTGGTCAAAAGGAGGCCAGAATGTCCACACCCAGTCCCTCCTTCCTCACCCACTTCCCCATGGCCCTTATGGCCTTGAATGTGTACTGGGACACAACCAGATGTGAGGAGGCATAGCAAAGGGCTGAGATTTTAGTCAGCCAAGTAGTACAGTTTGTGGTAGGAACAGTTCAGGGCTCAGGTTCACCACTGGCAGCCTCAGCTTCTGCAGCTGAAGGGGGACAAACTTCCTACCCTGCAGAGGTCCTTTAAGGAGGATGTCAGCTATAGTGGCAGTTCTCAGGGTGTTCTCTCATCTTGGTGGTTTTTTTTTCCTCTCTCTCTTTTATTCAGTCCAGGCTCACTCTGCTGAGCCAGTTTCTCCCCACCCTGTCTTCACTTTTACTTTCTTGAATAAATTTGGCCATGGCTCAAACAAACAAGGAAACAAACAAAAACCAATAAAGGTGATATCAGGAGATGCAGGTATAAACAGCACATGACTGGTGTGCTGCCACGTGGAAGCCATGGCACGCACGTAGCTTTCTGCTTTGGGGGGTGAGGTGGGAGGAGCAGTACTCAGCTTGAATTCCTCAGACAGCGTAGCATAGTGGGTGACCTTCAGGAGGGATGAAGTCTGCAAACAGCTGGGTTGGTAGCCTCGCCCGTCTGCCTCTTCTGTCCCACCATGGCAGGACCCTCAGGCATCTGTGGCAACCTGATCCCTAGTGCTCCTGTACTCAGGAGCCAGCCTCCCCAACCCACCTGGACGCTACAGAAGAAAAGGGTTGTACCAGTTGTATCTGGAACCCTACTTTTTCAATCTTGAGTCTGCAGTGTTACGGATTTTGGATTGCAGAGTTGATTATTTTAGAAAGACAGTGCTTGTGCTTCCAAGCAGCTCTGAGGTAGGTCCTAGGAGCATGATACTAGGAGCTTGTTGGTTGGTTCATTTAAAGACCTGTCCATGTGCCAAGGAGGCAGACCACTAGCCCAGCCCTGGGTCAGGTGAAAAGCAGCAAGACCCACAAGAGCCCTCTTGCACCCGGCCTCCTTAGCCGTGTATGCTCTGACCTGGCTCAGGCCCTCTGTTCTGCCCTCAGGAAAGCAAAGGGGTCTCTTCAAGCCTTCCCGTCCTGACCATCTGGAGGCTACTGGGGCAGTTGTAAGAGGCTAACAGCCCTCTGCAGTGAGTCTTGATGGCCCAGGGCAGTCTGCAGCATGACGTGTCCTCTGGTGCCACACCGGAGCATAGCTACAGCCAGGCACCCCAAAGTTCACGCGCCTTTGTTAGCTAGCATGCCCTGTGAGCGTACATCTCATCACTGAGCACACACAGGCAGGAGGGTGGAAAGCTGCTGTAAGTGGATGCCAAAGCCGATTTCAGCTCACACCTTCCAGCTCCCCTGCCAGCCTACATCTTCCCTCATCAACCGAGTGCTACTATAGGGTCCCCAGCCTCCCTCTCAGCACCTTGCATGGCCAGGGATCTGGGCTAAGAGGTGGGCTGGTTTGTTGCTCAACAGGACAGCTAAGAAGTGGCTTTTCTGCAGATTTCTGACAGTAACTGGGGCCTGCTGAGCACTCGTACCCAGAGCCCACAGGGGTGAAAAAGAGGCAGCTGTGCACGGAGGGCCTCGTGTGCTGGAGCAGCGCAGGCTGTCTCCTGGGGCTCTCCGCCTCAGTGAGTTTATGGATTGCTTGGCCCTTTTGTTCCTGAGCTGTTAGTGGGACTGATTTGGCAGTGAGGCTGTGTAGCTAATTCAAGTCAAGCGGGCTTGGCTTTAGAGTGCTGTCTCTCTCTTGCCACTCCAGGTATTGGTCTTTGTTCTGCTTTTGTTTTTGAGGTCTCTGAGGCTGCTATTTTTCTTGCTTGTGCACTTTGGTAGAAAAAACATTTTTGTATTTTGTGTTTTGAGTTTATGGCAAGTGGACAAAAAAATAAGGAATTTCTTTGCCTAGCACCCTACCCTGTGTGGGCCTCCAAGGGGAGAGGGCTGCCCTGGGCCTATAAAATTAGCTGACGCCTGAAGGTTAGTGCATGCCGTGCGCATGTGTGCATGTGCGTGCGTGCGTGCGTGCGTGTGTGTGTGTGTGTGTGTGTGTGTATGTGTGTGCAGTCAAGGCAGGGGGATGCGACTGAACCTGGGGGCAGTGCTATAAGAAAAAGGAGGTAGACAGACAGGCTTTGGACCACTCCCGGGATTCTTGCCCTACCAGGTAGTACCTTGGCACCTTGACATGAAAGGTGGGCTGTCCAGGATCATTTTGGACTAGTATCTGAGAGGAATGTCCTCACTATTATCATTCCTGCTCATTCAATCTGCATCCTAGCTCTCAAATTTTCCTCACAATGGCCCTTTGTGTGACATCACATGGAGATGGGTTTCCTTGTTGCCCAGAGATTTGTAACAGAGAAAAACAGACAACAAAGAAGTGTTAAGGCTCCCCTTTCTAAAAAGAAGTAGCACACCTGGCCCTTGAGTCACTGCAGCCTCCACCCAGCACTTCCCATGCTCCTCTGTGCCCACAGAATAGCGGGCAGTGGTCAAGCATGAATCCGCGGCCTGGTCAAGGCAAGGGTCCTTCTAGCAAATTATGCACAATAAGGAGAGAAAGCCTCTCCCTCCCATGGACCAACCTCTGGTGACTCTGTGCAGGGCAAAATGAGATAAGACAGAGGGACCCAGTGAGGGCCCTAGCCTCAGTGAGGTCTGCATGCCCACATGCCTGCTGAGAGGCTCACGAGGGAGCCCCTTGCTGCTTGCCCACAGGAGGCTCTCTGCTGATCAGAGGCCTCAGCTGCAAATAATGGGGTGTGCACCAGTAGCAGGTAGAGGGGGCTCCCAGAGAGCCGGGACTAGCTACTGTGGCTGGTGTGTAGGGAAAGCCCCTACAGGGCCCTCCCTACCCCTTCCCTTCTGTACTCAGCATTCTGCAGAAGGTCAGGCTCTGACAGTAAGAAAATGGCAGTCTCCTCAGAGCCTGCCTTTCCCTCCAACTCCTTGAGCAGAAGCCTTGCCTGCCAGGAGGTGCCACAGGACAGGAAGGGTATGAGTGCATGAGAGGAAGAGGGTCAGCATGATGAGCTGGAGGCCACTGTGCCTCCAAGGTGTGTGTGGGCAAAGTTGGCATGCTGCACAGGTGCTTTCCTCTGTATCACTGCTGAGCTGAGCACATCTGCCCAGATGTGTGTCTGTGGCTCTTCGAGGGCACCTTGTGGGCTGGTTGCAGCAAGGCTGTAAGGGTCCAGCATGGACGGGTTCTGGATCACTGTACTCCTGGCCTCGACAGACCTCCATGGTGAGGCCTAGCACAGGGGAGATCTCGGGCCCTGGTGCCGAGTAGACCTGGATTTGCAACCTGACTCTACCCATTTATCTGTAAGTGACCTGGAGCCTTTTGGTTTTTCAATCTGGAAGATGTGGTAGCATTGCCACCTGGTGAAATCCTTACAGCGTAGGATGAGTATGAGGAAAGCTCAGTAGCTCCTGTGTGCAGTGGGTCCTTTCTCCCCACCTTGTCTCTGAGGTTGCTGTGGCACCCAAGGCCTTTGGGGGTTGGGGAGTGGATCAGCCAGTCAAAAGATTAAGAAAATCATTTCTCCACCCACCTGAGTGGGTAACTTGATGCCTCTTCCCTTAGCTGATGCCAGAAAGACTTTGGTCAGATGCACGGTATGGGCCAGTCCTATAACAGTTACTCCTGAGCC